GCAAAGGGAACTTGGGGATGAATGTGTTCCACGCTTGTGTGGAGACTTTCTCTTTTTTTTTTTGAGTTTTTAATTTGGGCGTGCAGTATTTATTTTTCTTCCCGGCGTTTCAAGTGGACTCGAGTGGAGCCGGGCCGGTACTGAACCGGAGCCATCCTCGAGCGAGCCGCTCCGAATGGGCGCACCGTCTGCGGCCTTTGGTCGCCTTTTCCGATCCCTATGCTAACAGGTAGCCCGCCTGCTAGCTAGACCGCTTCCAGTTCCAGGTGCGGTTGCGGTTGCGCTTCGGTTCCTCACCTCGTCGTCGTACTCGCCGTCGTCGGCGACCCGCTTCGTTTTCTCCTTCTTCTTTGGGGTCCTTTGAAGAACTTCCGTGGCGTCCACGTTGTCGCTCCTCCGCGTGTCCTCCATCGCGCTCGAAGAGAACCAGTCAGGGAACCGATCAGTCAAAACTTTATTCACACCACGTCGGCGGACAATGCCAACCCCCGCAGATTGCGTCACACAAGCCCGGTCATTGCTTCCTTCAACGCCCCCAATGTGGTGTTATTTCATTCGTTTCGTGTGGCGACGACTTGTCATAGTAAACGCCGGAATAGGGGCAAAGACTTGTCTCCAAATTGTTGACCAAAACACATCCGCAATCTCCACGGATGGTTTTCACATTCAGAAACATAGTCACGATGTTGAGGGTCCATTTAAAATAAGACTCATCAAATATAAATCTGAAATTATGCGCATTCTTTTTTGGACACAAACGTCACGCCCTGAACCGCGGTTCTCAACGTTCACGTTAAATACCGTCCCTCCGCCCACTTGGAGGCGGTGTTGGTGTCTCCATTAAACAGGCACGAGTTATCCCTTGTTTTTCTTTTAAACAATGGCAATTGCAAAGGGGAAACGGGTCTACAGCTGATCTTTGACCATGTGTTTGTCTCACACAACTCGGGGAACCAAGTAGGACCGTACTTGGTTTTCATCGAGTTTGTTTTGCCTTGAAACGAAGACCTCCAAAACCTTCTTCTTCTTCTTCTTTCGTCGTCTTCTTCCCTTGAACCGCTGCTGCAGCGTAGATGAAGAAGCGTCAGCAGCGGACAGGTCGCTCCCGTTCAACGGGGACAACATCGCCGCCTCCTAGCGGACGGAGGCGGGATGGCTTTTCAACGCGCGAATGCTGTTCTGCGGCGCGGGAATCGCTTGAAACGGCGCGACTTTGGTGTCCGAAATAAATGCGCGCGTGCCCGCCGACGCCGAAAAACACACTGGACGCTCCACAAGCACAATTGAATAGGCGATTTACAAATGATAAGTCATGGCAATTGCCAACAGAGAGAGAAAACAAGAAAAAGTGAAAATCGCAAATGTATGCGTGGATCTGAAAAACACGTGACAATCACACATTTGCAAATCTGAACGCCATGGAAATCGCGGATGTATTTCTGTGAATTATTTTGTCAGTTCAGGTCAGCAGGAGTCACTTGCAGTCAGCCAGCCCCTCGGCATGTTTGACGCTGGACAGTCATGACTTGTTTTTCGGGATCGACGTGATCATTTTATTGGTTAAAAAAATTGGTCAGTGGAAAATCAGACAGAGGAAACCATAAAATCGATAAAAGATCGCTTTAAAAGAGTCTCCGGGCGGGATAGGATTTGCTGTCCGGCAGCCAATCAGTTGATGGGCTCGTAGCCGCTCGCCGAGGACGCCGATCTCTTTCGCAGGCACACGTAGACCCCGCCCATCAGCAGGATGACGAGCGGAGCGCCGAGACCGACCGCCATGATTGCCGCCACCAGCGGGGAGAAGGTGTCCGAGGGGGGGGGCCCGACGCCGACCAAAGCCGTCCTGCCGGACGACAATAAAACATAAACGGATCCGTTCAGCACGAGCTCCCTCACGGCGCAATTGAACGTGTCGACTGGAAAGTCCAATAAAAATACCAACAAAGTGTTTTGGGAGAACGTGACAAAGACAAAAAAATGCAATACTGCACCGCAAGAAAAAGATTTCTCTATTTTTAAAAAGGAAGCATGAATAGCCCAACGTTAACAATGAGTCGAATGGTTCCGTTTCTGCATTTGTTGTCAGATTTGATGGCGCGCTTCCCGTTTGCTGCGCAACGACATTGGCCGCCTGAGTCGCATTCCGAGGTTGACAGAAAAGTTGTCGCAAAACACGATAAGCGTCATTGAAAGGAAAAGCGAGCAGAGCAGAACCAACCAGCTCAGGAACTTGGTGGCGTCGTAGAAAGGTTCCCCGGCCACGCCGAAGCTGATGTTGAGTCCGAAGACGCCGTTCGGCTCGTCACCCTCGGTGGCGAAGAAGGCCAGCGCCAGACCGCCGGCCTCCGCCAAAGCCCCGGCGCTCTGGCGCCGCGGCTCCGTGTGACGACACGGCGACGCGTCCTCCAGAGCCGGCGGAGAATGCCGGTAGGCTACCTGCTTCCACAGGACGAAGCCGCATCCGTCGCACGAGCTCTCGTTCGCTCCCGACGTCCACTCGGACACCTGAGCGGGCGGAGGTTAACGCTCGGTGACAGTCCTGACCATGAATCACAGAACAAAAAAAAAAAGATGGCCTACCTTGAAGATGGATGGCGTGAACTCGTCGTCGATGGAGCGGCGTACACCAACGGCGTTCAGGGGGTAGACTCCGCCCACCGAATGCAGCTCCAAAAGGAAGCGTGACCGCCGCGACCTCGGCAACAGGCCGTTGAGCCGCACGGCCACCTGGGAGGAGTTGGCCGTATGGAGGAGGCGGGGCCACATCTCGTCACGCCCCTCCCCATCAAACACAGAGAGCTGCCGAGCAACACAAATGCGACGCTTTGATGACATTATCGGTCTCGGAACGTTTGCTAACGCGGCGACGTTTGCAATTGTTCAGTTTTAACAGAAGATGAGATAAGAAAACCTTGATTTGTCTCACAATGGAGAAACTCCCAATTTACAGCAGCAAAATTATGAAAGGGAGAAGTCGAAGACCAAAAAGTCTAGAAATACAAATGATAAAATATTGATCTAAGCATCCAGGTTTTCAGGTCGGTCTCTTCAATAGCCTTTTTCCCAACTCCCTCGTAACCATGCGGGGATTTGTGTGTGTGTGAGAGAGAGAAAGAGACCTACGTGCAGACAAACGGAACCCTGGGCCACGGCGCCGCACAGTCGGGCCGCCGCCCCGGACAGCTCCATCGCCGACCACGTGATGTTACGCAGCTGGTAGGGCGGGAAAAGCTCATAGGGCATGTCCGCCGTGTTGTTGACGTCATTGTATTCCAACAGCTGACACACACACACACAAAGAAGACGCTGTCACAACTACACAGTGCAGTGCTGACTTGCGAGGCCTCGTGGAGGGATTTTGGTCCGAAATAACGTAATGGCTAAGATGTCCTACGAATGTGCTATTTGAATTTGACTTGCAAAGCGCACAATTTCTATCGACACGCGCGGGTAGATAGAAGGGGTGCCACCATAGGTAGGACGACGCAGTGATCAGGGTTGGGTGGATGCCCCGCTCGGGTGCGTGCCCGGGGGCCGCCGAAACTGGCCCCACCCTCCGCAGGCTTCTGCCGCCAGACGCCTTTAAGTCGCAGATAGCCGCTCCAAACCGTCGGCCTGACACTGACAACGGACGACGACCGGCCCGGCGTTCGTCCATACGCGCGCTGCCGCTGAGCGTCGAGCTCGGAAGACGAGCGAGAAGGCAACCGGCGCGGATACCGACCCGGCTGAAGACGAGCGCCGTGCTGGACACGATGCTGCTCACCGGCTCCACCCGCAGGCTGCCGCTGGCATTGCGGCTTAAGAAGCGCTGCCAGTCCACCTGAGAAGACGACCACACCAACATGTCGGAGCTCTCCCAAAAGCACTCGCGACGTCGTCACGCAGGAGGCGTAGGTCGCACCGAGACGTAGGAGGACGTGACCCCGGTGTGGACCACAAGGAGCGTGGGGGCCCCCTGGCTGCAGAACAGGAAGTGCAGGGTGTCCTCGTCGCCCAGCGCTCTCACGTGCAGAAGGTCGCCGCCGGCGTGCGGGGCGGGCGAGCCCGGGTTCAACTCCACCGACAGCTGGCGGGCGACACGTTCACAATCCGCGGTTACCGCCGATGACGCCATCGCGGGCCACATTCGTCGTCAACCCCGCGGGCAATCGATGGCGTCACCGGCCGGCAGTTCTCTCGTCACTCGCACGTCACGTGACAAGTTTCTCGGCATGGCATCAACCGCCCCGAAAAGACGCTCCAGTTCGTTCAAGCACATGCCAAACGTCGTCGCGGTTGAAGCCGAATTGTTTTTATTTTCGATTGGATCGAGACAAAACGTTGACGCGGTCGCAAGCCCAAAACATTTTTTTCCGACTCGATCGGGACAAAATGTGGACGCGTCAAAAGCCGCGTCGCGTTCGAGAACTCGCCTTACATGTCTGGTCGACGAAGCCGCCCCCGAGGAACGAAACGCCAAAGAGAGCAAGGCGGCGCACAGAGGCCACGCGGCCGCCATCTTTGTTGTGACTTGTCACGTGTGTTACCGAGAGGTCAGCTGGGCGCACAAGCCGCGCCCCCAGGAGACGCCTCGCTCGTCACGTGAGCTGCGTTCACGTCGTCGCGACTTCCCCGAGCCCAAGCTCAGAATAACCCGTTTCACCATATATGTGTTCAGGGGCGGCAAAACGCACTGAAGTCCAAGTTTCAAGCCCTGGCATCACTCCTAAATAACGATTGGCGTCCCCCCCCCCC